AAAAAAAAAACAATACTTAGTGCACGATGCAAGTCTTCCTTGCTTGATGTTAACTATGAATTGGCTCTAAAGAGTTTTATATATCAAATCCTTGACTTGAATGAATTTATTAGTTTATGTTTTCTTTTTTGTCATTACAGGACAATGAAGAATTGAATACAACATTACTTTTACATTTTTTTGGAAAAAATGGTCGAGATACATTAAATTATACAGAATTTAAACGGTATAATAAAACATATATATTGTATATAAATAAGAATTTTATTTGTATAGATTTATGGAACATCTTCAAACGGAAGTACTTGAAATTGAATTTACAGAATTTTCACATGGTTTTAAAACAATATCTGATTTGGATTTTGCTGAAATACTTTTACGTTATACAGATTTGGATCGTAGTACAAAAAAATTCATTTTAAAAAAAGTTAAAAAATCAACAGATCATCCAGATGTATGACAATAAAAAAAAGAATATATATGTTCTTCTATACTATTTTGTTTTCTAATTTTTCAATATAGGGTATTACATTTGAACAATTTAAACAATTCTTTGCTTTTCTTAATAATCTGGAAGAATTCAGTGTTGCTATGCGTTTTCATCAATTATCAAATAAACCAATTTCACAAGGTGAGTATATAACATCATAGTTTTTTGTTTGGTTCTACTTACGATGGGTGTGAATGTTTTAAGATAAGATATTCATTGAATACTTAATGAGCTATTTCATCGAAACACGTTCAGTAAAATGACACTTGAAGTTGCTGTTCAGATATTGAGTTGGATTTTGCAATATCTACTAAATGAATTTTAGATATGCTGATGATCAAACCATACTTTTGACGTTTGTCTCATCTTCTGTCCTTTTAATATATTACTCTTGAAAATATTATCTAATTCAATTTTTCTTGAAAAACGAACAGAAATTTTCTTTTATTATAGACAATCGGTTCCTTCGAAGAATTAAAAATGTTAGTTATTCACAACAGAAAATTTCCAGGAAGAAATGTATAACACAAGAAAAATTTAGGACGGAGAGATCACCCTATTTCCGCTTACTAATCGTTTGATCTGTACAAGATTATGATGTTGATAATCAGGGACTCCGCTAGACGGTTTGACGAGGGAACTTCTCCACGTGTCAAATCGCTTTTCGATCGAGACGATGGTCATTTGATGTGTCATAGAAAAGCCTAGAATGGCTTGATATTCCGGGTCTTCGTTCTTGAGATACCGAAATTTTATTGGGTTTTCAATAAAAAGTTGTGGCTCCCTTATTGACTTCAAACTTTGCACGAACAAAACTATTAATGAGATTAGTTCATTATGCAAGTTTTAGCTTTTCTAGTATTTCCTTTCTGAAGATGTAAATATATGAACAAAATTCGAATGTTGTGAAACTCAGGACAGTGCGTTAGTAGAAAATTTACAACTAGTCCAATGAACTAATCTCATTGAGAACTTTATTTGTACAAAGTTTGAAGTCGAAACTCGATTAGGAAGAAAACCACAGCTTTTTATTGAAAAATTCAGTAAAATTTTTATATCTTGAGAATGAAGGCACTAGAAAACCAAACTCTCCTAGACTTTTCTATGACTCATCAAATAAACATAGTCTCGATCGAAAAGCGATTTGACACCTGGAAAGGTTCTCTCATGAGCCGCCAAAATTTAAAAGTGTAGTGGAAGCTTCTTTCAATTATTTTTCGGCTTGTCAAGAGTGCTACTTTTATTCAGAGAATCACCCTATAGAATATTCTGATTACGATGTACTCTCTATACCGGTGCGACGGGAATGAACATTTTCGATAATGATGAAATTTGTTTAAACAGCAGAGTCCTAACATGATATAATAATGAAATTTATTGATCATAAGATGACGAAGAAGACGACGAGAATGAATGAATAATGTTGAATTTTATTTATTGTTTATCCTGTGTGTTTTTTTTTGATTAGGTAAAAGAAACAAGGACACAATAGTCCTACATTTGTCAGACTACATTTCTAAAGACTATGTTCTTTTTGTGTACTCAAAAAGTGAGTACACTACTAAAATCGGTCAGTGTGTCCGTCCGTCCGTCCGTCCGGCCGTCCGTCCGTTTATCCGATAACTTTCGAAAGGGGAGTCCGATCGCGATGAAATTTTCTACACAGTTCAGTCTTAACAATATCTCGGTCGAGTTCGAAGATGAGAAGGATTGGCCGAGCCGTTCCTGAGTTATTGCAAAAATACTCATTTTTCCCTGCACCTTCCCTATGGAAAGATCGACCCATCCCCACTTTCGTAAAAGACTTTTCCTATCATAGTCAACTAAAACCCCAACTATTATATACCATTCAATAGAGAATTTCACGAGCTACAAAATGGTATATAAAACATAAAGAAACAAGAAGGTTGGCTCATCTATCACAAAGATAATTAAAGAGAACTAGGTTATATTTTTGTCCACGATCTAATTGATCCACAAATAGAGCTCTATCTTCCGATCACAGTGATGATACTTCGAGGTTTTCTGAGATGGAGAACTCGAATCTGTATTCCACTTCCATCGAAATACTATTGGTTGAGCAGTGACCAATAGAAATTAAGTTATAGGAAAAACGACTTTCTTAGGGTAAATCAAGGGGAAGAGTTCAAATTTGAGCTGTATTCGGTCCCAAGTCCTATTGGTTTGGCAATACTCAATAGAAATCAACAGTTTAGAGGGTAGGTTCCCCAGTATAATTTTGATGTCCACACGTTCTAGAACGACTCATCTGTCTCATTCACTTTTTGAAGTACACATAACTCTCGGATTTAAATCCGAAGTTTCCGCATTTATTTTTAACTATAGTCCAAACAATCAAAAGTAGGAGTTGGAATTTTACTTTTTTTCAATTTCATCATGCTGTGTTGTCTTGGTTTTATATACTATGTACTGATGTGGATCGGTCAAATATTTACTATTATAATCCTATAGTAGTC